TGTGTGTGTGTGTGTGTGTGTGTGGCCGGCTCAGCCCACCAGGGGGCGGGGCTGGCTGGCATGTGGTGCTGGGGATCGAACAGTGGTCCTTGTGCTTTGCTGAGCTTGTTCTAAGTAGGTGCTTTAGACCACTGAGCCATCTCACCAGCCCAGTACAGGGTCTATAGGGTATCACTACACAGATTGGACTCGTAGTGATCCTCCTGTTTTCAGCCTCCCAAGTGCTGGGATTACAGGCACACACCACCATCCCCAGTCTCAATCACATCTCAGTACACCCCAAGGGTGGAGCCAGCATGGCACACCAGGGATCAAACCCCGGTTCCTGTGTCTGTCTAAGCAGGCGCTTTAGTCCGCTGAGCTATCTGGCCAGCCTTAAGTCAGCATTTTTCTAAGACCCCTAATTTCTCATCCAAGATGGAACAACTCCATCCGCCTGACCAATACAGCTCTTACATTTCACACCAATGGATATAATATAGCTAAAAGCCATACTTTCTAACTGATTTTGCTAGTAGTTACAGACTAATTAAGAGGGGACGTTATCTACGGCTTGGTCACACATTTAAACTGTACTTCAGTCACTGTAAATTAAATATACTTATGTGAATTGCTACAGTGCCAACTTAAAATAATGTAAAAGGCTGGCAGCACCCATATTTTCATAGTTTCATTGAAATATAATAAACATACAATAAACTATATGCACTGACAAGGTATAATTTGATAAATTTTTATATGTGAAAAAAAATTTTATACAAACTTTAACTTTTGATAATCCTTATTTCCTTCTTTCGCTAAAATGTTAAACAGGATTTGTGTTGTCTGAAAAAAATACTTACTTTCATGTAATTCACAATCTTGGCAAGAACTCCAAACTTATATCCAGAGCTTCCTGATAGAGCTTTGAAGTTAAATGATCCATTGCTATGATCTGTTGGAAATTAAGATTTAAAAAGACAATTTTAACAATTTCATATATGTCGGTTTGACATTTAAGCAAGGAAGATGATTTGAAATTCGTAAAAAATTTGAGATTTTCATCTAGCAAGTTCTATCCTATAAAATTCTGATGAAAAAATCTTGGAGTACATATTAAACTATTTTCTCACTAAGGGTAGAAATAAAACAATAATTTAAACTACATTACGGCTGGGGAGATGGTTCAGGGGAATAAGTGCTTCCCTGGCAAGCGCAAGGGCCTCAGTTCAATCCCCGGTTCTGCCCAAACCCCCCCAAAAAAATAAACTACATTACATTGTAGTTCTTTAATGAAGACTTTTACATTTGATATTTCTGCCCTTACTTAGACAAAGGAACATCATAAACCTGATCCAAGAAGTTTTCCTAGCAGACTTAAAAACACTATAAACGAGTAATTTTTCATATTTAGAGAGAGTGGGGCCTGCCCAATAGCTCAGTTGTTTAAGTGCCTGTTTAAGCAAAGGCAGTCAGGCTCAGGATATTGTGGTTTGACCCCCAGATCCTCATGCCTTTCCAGACTTGGCCTTAAGGCATCCTGAGGCAGCCAAAAAAAATCCTTATATTTAGAGACAGTGAGTCAAAGAATGAGACAGACTTTTATAGAAAACAATTTGTTTCAGATGGCAAAAACCCTAATGCCATGATCATATCACAAGTGCATTCCATTATTCATAGGTAGGAACAGTAAAAATTAATCATAAGTACTAAAATAAAACCTCATAACTATATATTCTATCAGCAAAGCACCAGATCAGATACTATAAATTCCCATGTGGTTGATCCACAAAGAAAAAGGCTAAATAAAAGGGCAGGAAGAGCCAATCTCTAGCATCAACTTGGTAATAATCATTTAAACAAAAGACTGCATTAGAACAACCACAAGTCAAATGTAACAATTGTCAGAGATCCAAGAGAACAGCTTCTAGATGGCAACATAACATTCCTTTGAGAATAGCTAGTGGAAAGTCTTTATTGAATATGCTTTGAGACTAAAATGAAACTCTGTATCTAACTTTCCCTTAAAAACAACTTTGTTGGGGGCTAGGGAGATGGCTCAGTAAAATAAGCAAGCGCAAGGGCCTGAGTTCAATCCTTGGTTCCACCAAAAAAAAAAAAAAAAACAACTTTGTTGCAGGGCATGATGATGTAAGCCTGTAATTCCAGCAGTTAAGAGGTTTAGGCAGAAGGGAGTCACCTGGAATAGGAGGTCAGACTGGGCTACATACTAAACACCAGGCCCAGTCTGAACTACACAGGGAAACCCTTTCTCAGAAGAAAAAGAACAACTTCCAACTGACACACAGAAGTCTACTGCTTCCAAAAATAAAAATACTGGGGTCAGGGGGATGGCTCAGTAGGATAAGCACTTCCCTGGCAAGTGCAAGGGTCTGAGTCAATCCCCGGTTCCAAAAATAAATAAATAAATAAATAAATAGGCTGTTTTTTAATCTTTTATTTATTTATTTGGTACAGGGTCTCACCACACAGCTTGGACTGATAGTGATCCTCCTGTCTCAGCCTCCCCAGTGCTAGGATTATAGGAACGCACCACCATGCCCAGTTTTGGTGGCCAGCATGGTGCACCTGGGGTTCCAGGGCTGGCACTGCATGCAGTACCAGGAATTGAACCTGGGTCCTTGTGCTTGCCAGGCAACTGCTGAGCTATCTTCCTAGCCCAACAATACTAGTAAGACTGTCTTATATCCTGGTGTGGTGGTATATGCCTGCAATCCCAGCACTTGGGAGGCTGAGGCAGGAGGACTGCCTCAAGTTTGAGGCCAGTATGGGCTACACAGTGTGGTCAAAGCCATCCTGGACTACATACCAAGATGCTGCCTAAAAAAAATACAAAGGAAGAATTAAAAACTTTTATAGGTGTTCTTTTATAGTCATTACATCATTACAAGTATTACCTACACAGTTCAGTTTTCCAAGATGTTCAAGACACAAGCAGCTGTTAGATTAACTAACATTTATTGAACATTTATTATTTGCCAGAAACAAGGGTTAATTGTTTTCACACTTAATCTCTCCTTAAAACCCACTTACGGGCTGGTGAGATGGCTCAGTGGCCTAAAGCACCTACTTAGAACAAGCTTAGCAAAGCACAGGGTCCGTGGTTCAATCCCCCAGCACCACATGCCAGCCCACCCCGCCCCCTGGTAGGCTGAGCTGGCCACACACACACACAAATTAAAATAAAAATAAATAAAGATACCCTTTCTTTAAAAAAAAAAGGGGGGGGCGGGGAGTTAGCTCAGTAGAATAAGTGCTTGCCTGGCAAGCGCAAGGGCCTGAGTTCAATCCCTGGTTCCACAAAAACAAAAACAAACAAACAAACAACAAAAAAAAAAAAACCCACTTACACTGGGCATGGTGGTACATGCCAATAAACCCAGCAGTAAGAAGCCTGAAGCAGAAGGATGGCCAAGTGCCAGCCTGGGCTACATAGTAAGTCAAATGCCTGCCTCAACTATACCATGAGACCCTATCTGAAGAAAAAAAAAGAGGCATTACTGTTCTCTTTTAAAAGAAAATTGAGAGTAGTAAATAACCACGTACAGATTTAAATACAGCTGTAAATCCTGTAGTACTGCCTTGTATAAGACCTCTTTACTAGCCTTTACCAGTACTGCATTTGAAACTAGCTATGGTGCCAGACTATAGAAATTCTTAAATGTACATTTCACATTTCCTTGTTTAAGTTAGTAAAATACTATTAAACATATCCTATCCTGCTGTATAAACAACTAAATGGACCTAGGTGTGATGGTGCACACCTGTAATCCCAATACTTGGGATACTGAGACAAGAGCATCACAAGGTCAAGGCTAGCCTTGGCTATGTGAGTTCAAGGTCAGCCTCAACAAACACCTTGTGGGGGGACAGGGGAGGGAGGAGGGAGGGGGAGAGAGAGAACAATTATAGCGTATTGAAGAAAAACACTATACAAAGGATCAATTATAAACCTACCATAATCAACATTCAAAAAATATTTGTTCAATGTATGAATATAATAAGGATATTTCCACATAACCTTTTATGGTCCCTGAGACAAATCTAATAATTTATCTATAGTTTTTTTAGATGCATACAGCAAGGATGTATGCAGTTGACTGGTATCTTCAACAGTCACTTTCTTAATTAAGAATTTGATGCTGTCATGTTTAAACCAAACTCTGAATAGTACATTGTAACATTCTCTCTGAACAGTCAATTGGTGACGATTCTGCCATTTAAAATACACTGTCATAGACTGCTTTTAAATGTAGACTGTGTTTACCTACCTGACCTCTTACAATGTGAAAAGCTAAAAACCTTTTCCCTCAGAACTGCTTCTAAATCCAATCCTCATATGGAAACAATCACTTCCAGACAGCAAGATTTATATATACAACAAGTATTAACAGAAAAATTAAGAAAGTGAAATCTCATTTATGAGATATTATGTATACTTCCTGGAGGAAATATCAAGCTGGTTACCCAGATCACTGTTTCCTAGGTCAGTACTCCTCCCGGCATTATCTTTTAGCCTCAGCACTGGAATATTCAATGAAGAACGTGAAATTTTAGAAATAAACACTAGGGGATATCAATTGGTTAGTAATTCTCATCAGAAATTTAGCCTAAGGATTAAAAAAAAAAAAAGAAAAGGTAACAGTTGCTATTCAAGACAGCTCTATTCAGGTTTATGAATGATTTACTCTTCAGGGTGGCAGGACTTAATGCAAATGAACAGAGAGGAAACCTCCACTGCACTGTGATCTAACCAATAGAAGCGCAGCTCCATCTTGGCTGTGCACTAGACTGCATTACAAACAGACGATACCATCGCTTCAACTGCACCCTTTCAGACAAGAGGTAGGTTTATACCATCTTTTTATTTGGTAATCCATGTCCTTACGATACAATAGAAAAATATTTTAGCATGAAAACCAACCAGAAAGCTTTGTTCCCTCTAGACAGCAAAAAAAAAGCAATTATTTATTCCATTGCTTGGTAGGATTTTATTATGAAAATATGAAGACTGCCTTGTGCTATTTGATAAGCACTTTTACCATCTGTGCCTTAATGGAAAATCCATTACATTTTATACAAACATGATCTATATCTGGACTTTAAACCAAAAACATTGGATATTAACTAGCTACTTGCTAATTTCAGCTTCCCATAGCAATTTCATTTCAGCAGTTCGGTCTGTCTTAACAAAGGATTTTTCTTAAAGAAAGATCTAGACTAAAAGCAAAACCTGGGCTGAAGCTTTCTGCTTATATTAAATTATCTTGGCTGATAAGAACACAGCTACTCACAAGAAAATCTTGTATTTTAACAAATATAAAAAATAGTTCAAAATTATTTTTATTTGACTTTGAGTACAGATGCAGAGAATGCCAAGAAATATAACAATTTGACTTTTATATAAAAAGACCATAAAATGTATCATCATGAGCTATGCTATACTATCACCAAGAGATAACTTATAGAGCTTCAGACTTCCTTAAAATTTTAATTAAAATAATTCCTGACAATAAAATTTGTCTTACTGTAATGTCATGTTATGATTAAATAAAAACATTTTACATAGCTTTTCATTTTTGATAAGCCACAAAATATTTATTATAGCATTTAAATATAACATTGAAGTTATTCTTAAACTAACCCTCAGAACAAATACAAAAGAATTCTTTTTACTACATTTTAAAATAAAAATGTCCTAAAAACTGCTTAAGAAATGAAGGTCATGTCAGGTAAAAAAGCTTATTTTCACAGCTCAGAGCAATCATTCATGTCTATTAAACATTAGTATAAATTATTGACCAAATTTCTAATCACTGTCAGAGCTCCAGGATACATACCATACATACTGACCTACAGATTCAACTTCTACCCTTTATCTTGCTAAGAATATTTAATCATTAAAGGTTTTTTTTTTTTGTAAGTTTTATCCCTATTTCTTAGCATTTAGATTAAGTAGACTATCGCCTACAAAACCCAAAGGTTCTTATAACAGAAATTAGATCTCTCAGGTTTTACACATGGGGTTAATTACCTAGAAACCATTCCTTTTTGCTATACGAAGTATAAAAGGCAAAAACAAAAAGTCCTGGATAGTATAAATTGTCAAATAAAACACAACTTAAAACTTAAATTTCAGGTAAACTGTAAACAGAAACTCAACCACCCACATTGTTTGAACATTCACACCCGCTTACATATAATTCCAATATACCTATAGTTAGCACAGAAGAAAAATAGACTTATAGGCATGGTCTATCTCAGAGAATACCACAGCTTAAACTGTTCTACATTGAATTTATTAGGATTAATTGATCATTTCAAGTGTTATGCTTAAAAGCACCAGAGAATTCAATTCAAGGGATTTTACCATAAATAGAGACAGAGCATAATTTTACTCTGATCTGAAATTCCAAGGTTCCAGAACAATCCTATCTCCATAAATATTCCATTGGTACCTCTTGAAATAGGAAAAACAGGTGAAGGAAATATATCAAAAATATACACAAAAGTGTTACTTGGTTTAAAGTTCCCTGTTCTTATAATAAATTTTAAAGAGAGAGGGAAGTCCCCAAAAGTATAATACATTTTTACTTTTTCTCCTTTACATTTCTCTTGCTTTTTATAATGCATGCTTATAACATTTACTTAAAATATGTTTCATATAAACTTATATTTTAGTTTCAAAATATAGTCTCAAAGTGGGAAAACATTCTAATGGTGTATTTCTTTTTGTATGCCTAATTCATCAAAAGAACTGTTTTATTTTGTTGGTAGTGCTGACAACTGAACACACTGAACTAATCCCTAGCCCTTTTATTATTTTACTTTTATTGTGAGTCAGGGTCTGCCTAAAGTGCGTAGAATCTGGACTAGAACTTGTGATTCTCTTGCCTCAGTCTCCCAGACTGCTGGGATCATAGGCATGTGCCACGCATGCCTGTAAGCAACGGTCTTCATTTTGGGGGGCTTTTTTTGTTTTATTTTGTTTTGTTTTAAGAAAATTACTAAAGCTCTTCTGTATTTTTGTTTTTTTGGTTTGGTTGTTTGGTTGGGTTTTTTTGGTCTGAGACAGGGTCTCACTGTGTAGTTCACGCTGTCCTTGAACTCACTTTGCAGCTGAGGTTGGCCTTGAACTTGCAAGGATCCTCCTGCTGGGATTACAGGAATGTGCCACCACACAGGCTAAGTTGTTCTGTATTTGAAAGTATATATGACACTAAATTTAAAGTGGAAAATGGTAGAACATCATGGGGTTTACTTTTTTTTTTTTCAGATGAGCTCAGATACTAACTAAAACAATAATTTAAAAAATAATAAAGAAGAATTTTTGAGTGGCTCAACAGTTATCAATATACTAAAATTGCAAACCATAATTTACAACAGGGGGCCTGCCCCTTAGCTCAGTTCTTTAAGGGGCTGCTTCAACAAAGCTATCAGGCTCAGGCTGCTATGGTTCATCCCCACAACTCAAGCCAGCCAAACCTGCCGAGGGCATTCCGAGCCAAAAAAAAAAAAAAAAAATCCATAATTTACAAGAAAAACCTGACATATATACACTTTTTGCTAAATGGCTTGGAAATTCCCAGCAAAGCATATGCATGCTTTTAAGGATGGCATGCACTGTTATTCCATAGTCATTGCAAGTGTAATAATTTTATGCATTTTTATGTGTGAATAAAGTATAGTCTAATAAAAATGAGTGTTTACAGAACTGGGGATATAAAGCCCTGGGCTTAATTCCAAGTACAAATAAAGTTTACCAATTCTAATTTTCTAGGGCTGGGGAGATAGCTCAGAAGAATAAGCCCCTGCCTGGCAAACTCAGGTTCTTGAGTTCAATCCCCATACCACACACACACAAAAAAATCTAATTTTCTAAACTTTTTTTTTTTTTGTGGTACTGGGGATTGAACTCAGGACCCTGCACTTGACAGGCAAGCGCTTATTCTACTGAGCTATCTCTGGCCCTAAAACTGAAATGTGACACCATAAACTTTTAAAAGCTAAAGGCAAGGAACACCATTTTTTCCCTTTCCTTTTAAAATTCATTATTTCAGTTTTAAATAAGTAATAAATTTAAGTTATTCAAAAAACAAAAGAACTGGCACCAGGAGCGAAAAACCTCAGGAAGAGGTCAACCTGAAAGGCATTAAAGAAAAACTTTAAGAAATAGTTCCCATAAATGCAAGAAGAAAGGAGACTCTAGGTAATAACTCTCAGGTGTTTTTTCCAGCTCTTTACTCACATACACAGGTGGTTCCCTTCTCTATTTCCCTAAGGTGCTACTCTTTCTTTCCCTTTTATACTGAGATTAAAAACTGCAACAATGTCCCATCCCAGGAATACCTGCATTTTAGCAGTGCTAAAAATCTTACAAGAAGCTCCAATCACTGAACATTTTTAAGATTAGTGTGCACACCAGTAGTGTGCACCTCCAGTACCTTCACTGTATTAAGGAAAAGAGGTCCAAAAGGACTAATTTTTGAAATTTCTAACAGTCAAATATTTGTATGAGTAGTGACTGGAACGCAGAGCTCAGGACGCAGCCAGCCTGTCAGAACATTCACATTACATAACACAATGCATTCCAAGAATGGCACCCCACTGCACAATGTAAAATGTTGCATCCCAGAGTTGTGAAAGGTAGCAGCCCTGCTTTCCATAAGAATGTGCTCTGGGGGTTGGTGAGATGGTTCAGTGGTCTAAAGCACCTACTTAGAACAAGCTTAGCGAAAGCACAAGGACCACAGTTCAATCCCCCAGCACCACATGCCAGCCAGCCCTGCCCCCTGGTGGGCTGAGCTGGCCACACATGCACACACACAAATAAATAAATAAAATTTAAAAAAAAAAAAAAAGACTTTTTTTAAAAAAAAGAACGTGCTCTGAAGAGAAAACTCAAAGGACACACAGGTAATTTTGAAAGACGAGTGTATAGACATAGTATGAAAGCACCTTAATGAAATGAGAAGTGACAGATTTATATTCCATATTATATACTTCCATATATCCCTGAATAGAAGCAATTAATTAACTTACTGCCCATTAAGTCTGTTCTCCTTCACTTGAAGCTGGAGGATCACACTAAGCACCATGAAGGCATTCTCATAGCCAAAAGAAAACATACATTTAAGCCTTTATCACTTGAACCTTCAAAATGCAAGAAGGAAAATAGTTTACCAGAAAAGGTAAAACAAGTTGTTAAGTATACTTTTTTTTTTTTTTTTTGAATCAGGGATTGAACTCAGG